TGAATTTTACCATCATTACTGTTACTATCCTACTCCAAGCCACCATCCTTGCTCATCTGGACTACTATAAAAGCTTTCTAACTGTTTTCACTCATGTTCTTCTATACTCCATCCTGTAGCCAGAAGATAGAATCATCCTGTAAAAACACAAATCAGTCCATATCTCTTCCTTCTTATTTCAACCCCATCTGTGGCTTCCCCCTATAACTACAATATAGCCAGTAGTCTTACAATATCCTGTAAGATCCTACATGATCTGGCCACTGCCTACCTCTACAGTATCAACTCCTACCTATCAGCCCTTTGTTCAATTAACCTTAAATACAGTGTCCTTTTCCTGTTGTCTCATGAACCTGTACACCAAACTCCTCTATACTCAGTGCCTTTGGGTTGCTGTTCCCTCTGATTGACATGCTTTTCCCCAGGTCTTCTTATAGCTATCTCCTTCTCATAATTCGGGTCTCAGCTCAGTTACTAGCTCCTCAGAGAAGACTTCCCACCTCTCCTTTCACTATTCATTAGATTTATTTCGGAATTTGAATTTTTTAACTACATGCATCTCTTACTTTGGTTTTTTAATTAAGGTAAAAAAAATCTACATTTAATAGCCTAGTCACTATTATATCACTTTGTTTTCTTTATTGCAAGCATCATTATCTCAAATTAATTTTCTTTATTTATGTGTTTGTTTATTGTGTGTTTCCCACTACAGTGTAAACTCCATGAGAGGGGGTATTTGTTTCAATGACCCTATGTCTGCCATGGCAACAGGTGTATCCCAGTACTTACAAAGTCTTTCGTACATTGTAGACTCTCAATAAATATTTGTTAATTGAGTAGATTTCATTCACCTAAGAGAGCAGTAGTTTCCTTTTGGCTGAGAATGGTCACATGAATTCATTTAGAAAGAATGTTCTAATGAAATATTTTGTTCAAATTGTTTGCATATTAATACCTGTGCACATGGAATGGTTCTTTGATATAACTGAGAAATTGTCAACATATAGAGCTTATAACAAATGTGGCAAATAGTATCTTTATTCATTTCAGCATGTCAATGGTGAGGTTCCTATCAAAGTGAAAATTGAAAAGCAATGTTGATTCGGTTCTGACAGCTAATATCTGCTTTCTGCTTTCTAGGCAGTGGTGAACTGTGTGGAATTTCTGATGCTGGAGGTGAAACCAGAATATCAGAATGCCCTTAGGCTGGTTCGCAGCACAGTTAAAATGGAAGACTAAGAGGCAAGGACAATTGGTTATGAAAATACGAGGAAGTGGTTAGGGCAAGTGGTTTAGAATTAGGGCTTTGAAAAATAAGATCTCTCATTGATTAGGTGCCTACTATGTGTCAGGCCATTGTCTATACTCCTTATCAGAAACAATTCACATAGGTATTGTTTCCCCATTTTACAAATGAGTAAACTGAAGATCAGTGGGCTAAATGATTTGCCAAAGCCACACAGCTGTGTAAAAAGTATAGCAATGGCCCTAGCCTGTGTGGCTCAGTTGGTTGGGCATCATCCTGTGCACCAAAAGGTTGCCAGGTCGATTCCTGGTCAGGGCACATAGCTAAGTTGCTGGCTGGATCCCCAATAGGGGGCATGCGCTCTCACATCGCTGTTTCTCTCACTCACCTTCGTGCCCCCTCTCTCTCTAAAAATCAATAAACTTTTTTTTTTAAAAAAAGAAACTAATTCTTGCCCAGCCAGCATGGCTCAGTGGTTGAGCATCGACCTATGAACCAGGAGGTCACAGTTCAATTCCCAGTCAGGGCACATGCCCGGCAGGCTCGATCCTCAGTGTGGAACCTGCAGGAGGCAGCCGATCAATGATTCTCTCTCATCATTGATGTTTCTATCTCTCTCTCCTTCTCCTTTCCTCTCTGAAATCAATAAAAAAAATATTTAAAAAAAGAAACTAATTCTTAAAAAATAATAAAAATAAAAGTAGAGCAATTGCTTAAACTAGATTTTTTCAAATCCCAAAGCTGACATGCTTTCCACTGCACACACTGTCTTCCTTGTGATGATATACACCATTTATGTCTGTGATTCCTGGCACTAAGTTTAGGGCCTGGCATAGCTTCCTAATGGAATTATGCCTAGCTGGACAATAAATGCTTCTGCTGCCATGGAGGGGCGACCTTAGTGAGGTGTCCAAGCCCAACTGGGTCCAAGGTTTGCTGACTAAGCAGGTTTCATGCCTGGTGTTCGCTGAATCTCTCCCTCCTCACTTTCTTTCCCAGCATTCTCCTGCAGCTCACCTCTACCTCTGTCTGCTAATCTAAGCATCCTCCAGGCGCTAATAAAAAAGCGACTCTGGCCATAGTGTGAAGGGAAGAGGCAGCTCAGCAACATCACTGCTGAGGGCCTGGGCAGGCTTTGGTAGTGTATTCTGAGGAGCTGAAGTGTGCAGCCCACAGAGAGAAATAGGTAAAATGCAAAATTGAAGAGGAGGATAAGTGTAAGAGGAAAATCTTCCTGACAGGGATGAATTAGTTATAGGACTAACTCCCCAAGGGAAGAGATGTGGCTCCATTCCCTAACGCCCACACAGAAAACATGCTATAGAGGGCAAGCGGGAGACAGAGGGGACATTAATGACTAATAGGCTCTTTCTACCTCTGAGTTTTATGAAGATAAATGATCCACTTTTGAATGGCGGAAGAAATAAAAATGGGGAAATGGAGCTGACTAAGGCACTGCAAAGATGAAGAGGACTGGAGGTTCTTGGCCCTCATGCTGAGTGAGGAAAATCATTTCTTCCAACTGGGGCAGTGGTCGGCAAACTGCGGCCCCTTCAGTGTGGCTCTTCCACAAAATACCACGCGCGGGTGCGCACGTACAGTGCGATGGAAACTTCGTGGCCACACTCAAGGGACCAAAGAGCCGCATGTGGCTCGCGAGCCGCAGTTTGCCCACCACTGAACTGGGGGATGCAGAGCTGAGCAGTTCAGAGTTTTGAATTGTGAGTTAAGGCTCTGCCACTTGCCAACTGTATGAACCTGAGCAAATTAGCCTTTCTAAGCTACAAAATAAGAATAATGCCCTATTTTATTGTCTTTTTTCACTGTATAATAGGGATAACACCATTGCAAAGGGTTCTTGTGAAAATTGAATGAAATAACTCATGTAAAAACAGTGCCTACCATGTAGTAAGTACTCCGTTAATGACAGTAATTATTATTGGGTCATAGCTTTGTGTGAGGGGGAATATTTTGGGTCTTTATCATCTATGTCAGATTGTGGGGACAATTCTTCCCTTTAAACTTAACAGTAGTGCCTCCTTGGTTTAATCATTTGCTGTGTTGATATCTCACACCCTAACTGCTGATTTGGCTTCAGCTTACAGGGAAGATGAACCCAAAATAATAGATACTACTTTTACTCTTAGGCAAACTTGCCAAAGAGCAGCTCAATCCATGTTGATACTCCATATCATTCTGAGGATACAGCCACCTCCCTGTGGAAGATAAAGCTAATAGCACTGTGCAGTATTCAATCTTTTACAGTTTACAAAGTACTCTTACCTGGGAAGAGCTACTGTCTTTATTTTACAGATGAGGAAACAGAGACTTAAAGAAGTGAAGCAACTTAAGATGACATAGATAATTCCTTGGTGGAGCAGGGAACCACACCCAGCTCCCCTGACTCCAAGTCGGGAGCTCTTTTTTAAGGTGTTGCAGGGGATGTGAATAGGCAGCAGATTAAAAAGCTAGTTGCTCCTGCCCTGGCAGGGTAGCTCAGTTAGTTGGAGTGTCTTCACATGTACCAAAAGATTGCCGGTCAGGCCGCATACCTAGGTTTCCGATTTGATCCCTGGTCAGGGCATGTCTGGGAGGCAACTGATCGATGTTCCTATCTCTAAAATAGATATTTCTCACCCTAGCCAGTTTGGCTCAGTGGATAGAGCCTGCAGACTGAAGGGTCCCAGGTTCAATTCCTGTCAAGGGCACATGCCCAGATTATAGTCTTGATCCCCAGTGTGAGGCCTGCAGGAGGCAGCCGATCAATGAATCTCTCTCATTATTAATGTTTCAATCTCTCTCTCCCTCTCCCTTCTTCTCTGAAATCAATAAAAATAAAAAAGCTAGTTGCTTCCAGTCATAAAAACATTGAATTTTCAGAATGGAGCTTTCATATTACCTAACACTATGGTTTCTCACTGTGTCCAGGGAATCCAGTAGGAGATAGGGAGAGCCAAGCAGGAGGTTGGAATTGTATGCAGTTCATCTTTTATCAATTAAATTTATAGCATTACAATGTACTTCTTCCTTGGAAAAGAAGAAGAATGTATGAAAACCCCTAATCTAGTTCAACTATTTCATTTCTTCAAGAAGCATATGGAGGTCCAGTCTGGTTAAGGAACTTGTTGAAATCTCATAATTAGGAGCAGAGCTAGGACGAACCCTCAGGCCTAGTCCCCTGCGTATTTGATAAGCATGCCATCAATCTTTCCAAATATTTTGTCATTCTCTAAATGTTTTCTTTAATTACCTCAGACAAGTCACTTACTAGTGACAATCAAATAATCAAGGAGAAATTAGTCGCTCCTGATGACTCACTATGTGATGTTGGGTCAATCCATTGGTCTCTGGACCCTCAGCTTTATCACAGGTAAAATGGGATGATAATTCCTGTGTAGGCAATTCTCAGTGGAGTTGTTGCGATGACTGGTGGAGTCATCGAGAACAGGTGGAGTTTCACAGGGTTCTTCCAGGGAAGGAGACTCAGCCAGTTCATTATCTTATTACTTACAAGTGCCTACCAAGTATGTCATTGCTTCGAAGGTGATCTCTGTAATTTATCACCCTTGTTTGTTTCTTGTTCCTTATTTAAGAGGGCAATGTACTTTATTTTTGTAACCATATCAAGTACTACCTGTTTATGTAATAGCCTTAAAAACTTCTTATCACATTGGTTTTCTGATAAACTTTTGTGATTTCTTACTACCTGCATGTGGAAAGTAAATCTTATAAGGTTAAATACTTTTCATTCCAGATAAGTTATCACTATCGGATTCCAGCAAGCCTGGGGAGCCCTGAGCCAGATGAAATCAAAGGACTTATGTGCAGGTTTCAGAGTTGGGATCCTCCCACCTAACTGGAGGTTTCTCTTCCTTCGACAAGGAATACTGAGAAAACACTCCCATGACCTTCAGGCTGATCTTGTAAGTGGTCTTGTGACTTTGACCAGGTTCTTTATCTCTCTGCGCTATCTCTCACTTGTAAAAGGCAGATAGTTGCCTTCCCTTTCTACCTCACAGGGCTGTCAGGAATCAAAAAAGAGAACACAGGGTGGGTGGCATGTTTTTAAAACTGTGAAGTGTATGCTAACTAAAAGAACTGTTATTTTAGAAATGTGTAAAATACTACAATTATTTATAACTAGTAGCCCTGTGCACGAATCCATGCACAAGTAGCTCGCTGCCGCTTGCCTCAGCTGGCCACCCACCGCTACCACCGCCGCTGGTAGCTCTCCGCTGCTCATAGCTCGCTGCTGCACTCTCCTGTAGCCCTTCGCCTAATGGCCGGCCCTCCTGTAGCTCTCCCGGCTCATAGCTTACTGCCCCACCCTCCTGTAGCTCTCTCCGCTTGTAGCTCGCTGCCCTTTCCTCCTGTAGCTCTCCACCACTTGTAGATTGGTCGTGACGTTACGGTGTAATGGATAATTAGCATATTCCTCTCTTATAATATAGGATGTGCATTTCAACTACTTCTTCTCAACTTGTTAGAAATACCCACTTGGACTAATCAACTACTCAGGTTGAAGAAAGATGTTTCAATTTATGCTCATTTCCATGAAGAAAGTCAAGGGGCAATTGATCAAGGCACAGTAAAAACTAGAGAGTTACCTACTTAATTGACATTTATCACAAAACAGGAAGTATTTTTATGTTTTCAATTAAGAACATTAAAATTTTCTTTAAAAAAGAAATTAGCATTGCCGAAACCGGTTTGGCTCAGTGGATAGAGCGTCGGCCTGTGGACTGAAGGGTCCCAGGTTCGATTCCGGTCAAGGGCATGTACCTGGGTTGCGGGCACATCTCTGGTGGGGAGTGTGCAGGAGGCAGCTGATCGATGTTTCTCTCTCATTGATGTTTCTGACTCTCTATCTCTCTCCCTTCCTCTCTGTAAAAAATCAATAAAATATATTAAAAAAAAAAAAAAGAAATTAGCATGGCCGGCATGGTTCAGTCATTGAGCATCAACCTATGAACCAGGAAGTTACAGTTTTTGATTCCTTGTCAGGGCACCTGCCCAGGTTTTGGGCTCAATCCTCAGTATGGGGCATACAGGAGGCAGCAGATCAATTATTCTCCCTTATCATTGATGTTTTTATATCTCCCTCTCGCTTCCTCTCTGAAGTCAATAAAAATATTTGTTTATAAAAAGAAATTAAGCAAATCTTTATCCCAAATTCTACTCTGGATACTCCAAATTTCTAACTTCATCTCTTAGAGAATAGCATTTGATGCTTACCCATGTTGATACTTTAAAAAATGTGGACCTTGTTTCCATTATGCTTATAAGCCAGCCACAGAAGCCAACCAGTATTTTAAGACTGCAGTGTTTACTAATGGATGTCTGGCTAGAAACTGTTGGCAGAATTCTGGCAGAGACTTCCACTAATGATGTAGAACTGCACTGCATAATCATGTCCACGTGCATTAAGTCTACCCACGACTGTCATGATTTGCAGTGGAGCCAGAAACAAGCACCCCCAAAAGTCCTGGGATTTTCCTGGAGGATGCATTACGTCAGAACTGGTTCAGACCCTCCCAAAGTCATTGCCACAGACATTCATTTCATTTAGGCATTCTTTACAAAAAAGACTTCAGAATACAGTGGATACCAGACTCTTTTGCAGAATATTTAGAGACATTAAGACAGAATAGCCTATATATGGACCAAGCCAGGAAAAATTTATGAAACATTTTCTTAAAAACCACAAGTACTTTTCTTGTGCATACACTGAGATCCCCAAGATAGATGGATATTCAATCCATCCTCCCACCCCCTACCCCAGGAAACCTATTGTCTGTTAAGCATTATCATTTTCATCCCTAGTTGTAGCTAGAACTAGGAGCATCAGAAGTCATTCCTCAATAAGGAAGAAGAATGATGACATCCATTTTGACTCTCTGGACATTGTTACTGTATCACTCTTCTGGGGGAGAGTAATTTCTGTTTATTAAAAGAGAGAGATTCCGAGACACTCCGCGCGGTACTGGAGGGTGGAAACCTGCGAGTTCCAGCAGCTTCCCAGGCTCTTGTTCGCACACTTCCTCTTACTTCTGTGGGTTTGATCGTTGAGCCCAGTGCATGTGAGTGCCCAGTTGGGGTCACTAGCAGAGCTTGTAGGGGAAGATTGTTTTTGGGGAGCCTGGGAAACAGAACTGGGAGTGGCGCTGGGGGAACCACCTCTGGGCGGAGCTGGTTCAGGTACAATAGGCAGCTCCTGGTCGGAGAGAACTTATAGCCTCGGAGGTCAACCCAGACACACTGCCACCCAGAGGCAGAGCCACGAACTGACTCCTCTGTAAATACAGATAAGGCAATAAGGACTGTGGCTTACAACAAGGAGGAACAGTGTATCAGAGGGAAAGTCAACATTCTCCTGAATTCCCGGCGTGCCAATAAGAAGAGTAGAAGATCTGAAGCACCTGCATTACTGCACATTTTTATTTTTATTTTTTTAAATTACTTTTTCTTCTTTTAACTAAGAAAACATTTTTTTTTTCATTTTTCTTTTTTCTCCATCACCCGATTTTGCCCTTTCAGCTACTACATTTTTATTTTTAACTAGTATTATTACCGCTACCATTTTACCATTTTTTAAAGTGTCATTTTATCTTGTCTTTATTTTATTTTGGGACTAATGTTCTCCATTCTATTTTCATCGTTCCTTTAGCAACATTTTTCTCTACCTCAATTTGCCTCTGTGCTAAACAATCTTCCCCACTTTCTCCCTTTTGCTGTCCTGTTTCTCTTACCCTACTCCAGCTTTAGATCTTCCCTATTCTTTTTATCCTCTGTCAAAATTTAACCCTGCTTAAATATCCTATGTCCAATCCCCTGTTCTAAATCCTTATACACCTTTCCCTCATCTTCCTTCACTATCCATTTTTTTTTCTCTCTCTCTTCTTCTTCTTTTCTCTCTCTATTGTTTTATCGTTGTTTGCCTGATTGACGAGTATATATTTTTTTTTGTTTGTTTTTTGTTTTGTTTTTTTTTTTGTTTTTTTTTTTTTTTGAGTGTTTGTGAGGTTAGACTGCTTATTCTTTTTATTTTCCTGCCCCTCCCTCTACCCCCCCCCTCCGGTTATTTCTGCGCTTCTCTGTCCCCTTGCGTCGCTTGATATTATTGGTTGTTTGTAGTTTGTTGTTTGGTAATTAGTGGCGGGACCTATAAGGAGTTTTCTCCTTCAAAATAAAAAAGGTCTCCTCCCCCCTTTTACAACTTCACTTTCTTTTTCTCTCTTAACATTTTTCCTCCCTTCCTTCCTATTTTTTTTTGTTTTTTTTTCCCCCCCCCCCCTTTTTCCCCT